GGAGATCTCCAAGGGCTGATTTGGGGCGCCATTTTGGTGGGAGATGATTGTCATCTTGTCAAACCAACAAGCTCCAATCAGATTTGGTTGTTGAGAGAATCAGTGAGCTAGTTGGTTCAAACTTGAATGCAACAGCTCAAATGTATCTGGACCCTTTTTGTGCTGAATAGGGGTGCATGAATTGGTGGTCATATGATGACCATTGGTTCAGAATTTTGACTAGATAAAGACCTAGTCTTATGAGGATTCAAAGGGGAGGTTGTTGGGATTTTTGAATTGTTTGTCTCACTCACTTGTGCGCCACATTCATTATAAGTAAAGTAAAAATTCTGATTTGATACACTAATTCTCTCCCTCTCTTGTGCGCCTAGTTGGTGAGTTCCTCCTTAAGGTTTTTCAAAAGAATCTAGTCAATTCTTCTATATATCATTCCCACTCTTGTGAAGTTTTCATGCTGGAGACTTCACTCTTCTAAACACATATACCTAGCCTCCTTCTTCACCTATTGAGCGCATAGCAAGCTTCTTTGTGGTGATCAATTAGTGGCTTTTAAGAAAGCGTTCTTGCATCTTGACGTGGGTGGTGTGGATCAACGTTAGAGGGTTTGAACCCTTCAAACCTAACACTGATCGTCTTGGAGTTTTGAACTCACAAACAAAGGTAACATCACATGCCATAAAACATGATTCTTGATTGCATGTGTAATTCCGCATATGAAAAATTTTGTTTTTCCCTCTCACATTGTACGGCCTTCAAGGCCATTTTACTTTCATGTTGAGGGGCTAGGGTTCACAGGTCTCAGCCTTTTGTTTCCACGCTGCTGAGTCTTTCTTTCTCCCTTCTTTCTTTTCTTTTTCTTTCTTCAATTGGGCTCTTTTGCCTTGTCTCACAAAGTTGGAGCCCACTTCTTTTCTTAATTTTTTCTTTCTTTCTATTCTTTCCTTTCTGCCTTCTCTGCTTGGAAGGTATTAAAATATGGGCCTGAAAATTAAAATTGCAGCCCATTAGTACTTAAATCCATGACATTTCAGCTCTGGTAATTTGGGTATATATTAACACAAAGAGTACTCCTTTTTTACATTTTCGTATTAAAAACCATATGTTTTAAGTCTCGTTTCATGGACTTATCAACGTATTTCAGCTTGCAATTCTTTTTCTTCTACTCTTCTTTTAATTTTGGATTTTAGATCTCTGGTTGTACTTAGTATCTGTTTTAAATTTAGTACAAATTGTTGTGAACATTTGGTAAGATCTCTATGGAAAACACGAATGTATATTTGAATTTTAATCTCAAATGCATGAATAGCTAAATTACCTTTTCAGATCTGGAATCTTTGAAAATTACCTTTACAATTGATTAAGCTTTACTGCAAAATCGAAGTCTGATTTTTCTAAGATGAAATAATGCTGAACTCACTTAGATCTGGCCAATTTAATTGAGTAATTAGGTTTAACTGTTGGAAAACAGTAAATTAGATCAATCTTAGGTACTACTCAGTTAGGTTAGGAATAATTAACGGTGTAGAACATAGATCCTGAACGTTCGTGAAATTTAGGAGTGACTTTGGAGTAGGAATACCTCAAAGTATAACTGAACTCAGGTTTTGATGCTGGAAGGTGCAGAACTGTTGCAGCGGATTAGTTAATCAGTGAAGATTCTATAGCAGGTTTTGAAAAATAAGAGAAAAATAAGGTAATTGGATAAACTTTCAGGTCTGGAGTCTTTAATCAGTGAATACAAGTTTTACAACATCAATTGTTTAATTTTTAGCAATATTTCAGTTCTACATTTAGCTTAATTGCTTGTACTTTTATTTTACCTAATGCTACTTCAGTTGATTTTTAGAAAATTTGTCAAGTGTGCAATTGTAAAAATCCTCGAGGGAACGATCTTTTAAACTTACATGTTATATTACTTGTTGGCCGTGTATACTTGAACGTAATGTAATTCTTTGCATTCCCTGTTCGTACTCATATATTGGAGATTTACAAACAATTTGGTAAAGAAAAGCTTGTTGTGAAGCATTGAAGGAGATTGATATTGACAATGAACTAAGCTTGAATCCATGAGATCTTGTGAGAGATTTCTGAAACATCAATTTGATGAAGCGGTTCTTTATATAACTCAAAGCAAGTGCTCCTAAAATTCAAAGGTTCACATCTTGTTTTTCCTAAAAAAACTTGAATTCTTGTAAGAAATTCTTGAATCCATTCTTGAGTCTTCTTGAAGTCCTTTTATTGAATATTTTTTAAACATCTTTTCATTAGTTGTTGTTATATCATTGATGATCAATTTAAAATAAATTTAAAATTATTATTTTTCCTCATTGGCCTAAAGATTTGTTTTTTATTGGTTTAGACTTGAACCGACTGTTTTAGTGAGAATTATTATTTTTTGAACTATTCATTCATTGTAAAATTTGGTCATTAACCTTCTCGCATATTCATAAAAAATATTGTCTTGACTAAAAACTAATATTTCTCTTAAGTGCTTAGTTGACATTGATTTATTAATTCATTCATAGCACTTATTGGTATTTCATTATTCTTGCATACTCGTTTATTTTTTTAGCAATATCAATTTGTGTATGCTTGAATTTTTGAAGTGATTAGGATTGTACTGTTGTTATTTTGCACATAAAGATGCTTACTTTCTTTATAACTTTCTGTTGTCAAATTGATCATAGGTTGTAGAGCTTGTTTGATTTGATTGTATTGTTTGTTGATCAATCGACCCTATTTGGGTAGTCTCGGATCAAGAGAATCTTGAGCATTTGGCTAGCTCGACTTGAAAAATCTCATAGCTTGGAGCATAGAGCTACCTTAGAAGAGGGTAGGCTCGAAATAGTATCGGAATATGAGGCACACACTGCCTTGATTCTTTGCTTGGCTTCAGAGAGAACTCTTTGAGCTTGGAGTTAGTGTAGGGGGTTACTTTGATATAGGGTAATTGATATTTTATAACTAGGCTTTTTTTTTTTTAAAGTTGGTTGATTGTAAAAACACTTGATAAAAGTTAGTTGTAACAAATACTTAGAGCTTCATTGCCTAGGGAGTGAGATAGCTTCCCCATTGCACTTAGGGGTTGTGAACCACTATAAATATGTGGTGTGAATCTCTCTTCCTTTATCTTCATTTTCATTTGTGCTTGATTGTCTCCGATACAACAAATTTTTGGTTCACTTTATTCATTGCTTTCGCATCAAGGTAACTCTAATTTTGAAATTTAATTCTTTTGGGCATTGGGACTTTTCACCTACCTATATATTTGCAATTGAATTAGTTCACTGAGCTAATTAACACAATTATCAAATCTAGTTGTGCATTAAAATCAAAAAAAGCCAAATGTATTTTTAGCGTACTCGAGTTATATTGGACTTGTTTTTGAAGAAATATTTTTAAACAACTCTATTCCTAAGGGGTGTTCATCAACCGATCCAAACTGATTCAAATCGCGGTGACCGAACCGAAAAATAAAAAACAGAAAAACTCGTAAATTTTAATTGGATTAAACTAGTTTTCAGTTTAGTTAGTGAAAATCGATCCAATCCGAACCAATATATTAATTTCGCTCTACCTACTTGGGCATTTTTCCAATCATAACCCAAAAAACTCTAAACCCAAGACCCATTAACCCATCAGTTAAATCCAAGAAAAAATCTAGCCACGCCTCATTAACAAAATTTCGCCTGCATAGAGTTTCATATCGCATTGCCAAAAAAAAATTAGATCATCATTTTACTGATACTTTTTGTATTTAAAAAAAAAAAAAAAAATTTATAAAGCCAATACATATAAAAGATATGTTATTTGCATAATAATCATCAAACAAATTTTAGACTTTTCAAAAATCGATCCAATCCAAATTGAAAATATTTGGATTGAACTAGATCATATTTGAAAAAAAAATTCAAACTGAATGGATGATTACATAATCAAACCGAAGGAATTGAATCAGATAATCTTTGTTTGTAAAACCAATCCAAACCACTTTGAAGTTAGTGTAGGGTTGAACCACTTTGAAGTTAGTGTAGGGTAAATGATATGTTATAACTAGGCTTTTTTTTTTTAAGTTGGTTGATTATAAAAACACTTGATAAAAGTTAGTTGTAACAAATACTTAGAGCTTCATTGCCTAGGGCTCGAAATAGGATCGGAATGTGAGGCACACACTGTCTTGATTCTTTACTTGGCTTCAGAGTGATCTCTTTGAGCTTGGAGTTAGTGTAGGGTAACCACTTTGATATAGGGTAATTGATATGTTATAAATAGGCTTCTTTTTTTTAAGTTGGTTGATTGTAAAAACACTTGATATAGGGTAATTGATATGTTATAAATATTTTTAAACAACTCTATTCTTAAGGGGTGTTCATCAACCGATCCAAACTGATTCAAATCGCGGTGACCGAACCGAAAAATAAAAAACAGACAAACTCGTAAATTTTAATTGGATTAAACTAGTTTTCAGTTTAGTTAGTGAAAATCGATCCAATCCAAACCAATATATTAATTCCTCCTCCATTCTTGAAATCCACTTACCCAATATACTACTTACTCCATTCAACTTCACACGAAATAATTGATTCTATGAAATAATAATTGAATGTATTGGCCTTAAATGAAATGACAATTACCCATCCATAATTTTAGTAATCTTCCTTACAGTATGTTACAGTGCACAATGGTCTCAATTTTAGATTTTAGGGCTCTTGTATTAAAAAAGATCGTGAGTATGTCACAGAAAAAGCAAAATCTTCCAAAAACAAATAGAATTGATGAATGACCGAGCACAATAATCTTAAAAAATCGTTACATTTTAAAATGGTCAAAAACCGACTTGCTTCACTCCACATATTTTCCCTGTAGCTTTTTTTTTGTGTGGTGTGTACCAGGGGGTGATTTTGTAAATTGCTTAATTTCCACCCACACCTAACTTCATTTCTCACCCGTAATAGCTACTTACAAAACCTAGCAAATAGGAAATGTAATTTGCTACACTATATTAAACACACGATTGGCAAAATCTTCCGAGTTCATTCCAAATGTCACATTGCAGGTGACATTTACCATTCTGTACATATTGAGTTTCTTCAACTTTGAAATAAAAATAGTTTTGTACAAAGTTGATATTTACAACGACACATTCTCGTTAAGCACTTGTTTCCCAAACCTATCTTCCATCAGGAGTTGCTAATGCCAGTTCCAACTGGCCTGTAATCAAGCATGCATCAGACAACTCATCTCGCAAAAACTTGTCATTCCCTATAAGTAATGCTTCAGCCTCAATCAACAACGGAGATAAAAAGAGTAGGGAAGTGTCCAAAAGAAATTATATGCCGTCTGCAAGCTGAACAACCTCATAGTACACGTTGCATACCTACCAATCTTCTATGTCATCATCGGAAGTGGCCCTTGCTTGGTCATCTAAACTTACTTTGTCAAAATCAAAATCTTCCATATCCAAGTTCCCCACTGATTCCTGACTGGGTTCATGATATCTTCCATATGCCCTATTTCCAAGCAATTTAAACATAGGCATGTACTCTGTGGCCATAATTGACATTTGATAAGAACCCCACTGTTTACAAGCTGGAATTCTCGGCCTAAACATCTCATACTGCAACGAAAGATCATGATCAGAAGTCAAATTTTAAGAGTGATGAGATTAGTGCAGTAGTTAATTATGAGTCCATTTAACAATTGGTTCCGAAATCATTAGATAAATAATCAAGGACAAGCTTGAAGATGATGTTGGTGAAGCTGGCCTCCAGTCTTGGCCCGGTATGGGTCAAAGTTGATAAGGGTAAATAGAAAGGGCTGCGCGCCTGCACCTTAACTAAAAGGTATATCTTTTGACTTAGTGATAAGCTCTTGATCCAACACTTGGCAAGACCCAATGTGGGTCAGAGTTGGATCGAGCTATAGCGCTTGGGCTGATAAGGATAAGTAAAAAAAGTTGCACCCTAACGATTAGCTATAGTTTTTAACCTAATAGTAAGCGTTGGACCCAAATTTATGAAATATTTGAATCTTCTAGTGAGAAAACTACTTCAGCAAGTAGTATATCAAGGAAGAGCATAAAAAGAGCATTTATCAAGGAAACCTAGGAATTAGTACATTCCATTGGTGCTCTCTAGAGCCTTTTTTTTCTCTCCAAGGTTAAACTAAAATCTAACGCATTTCCAATGGGCTACTTCAAATAGAAAATTCAAGCATTGCAGGATAATAAAATAAAACAGAGAGGAGCCGTAATGAGTTTACCTTGTATAATGATGCTTTCTCAACCTCCCAAAGTTTTGGTCGACGAATTGCATGCCACCTATGAAAATGAATAGATTTAAATTTAACAGAAAAAACATAAAGTTTTGCTATGCACAGAAGACTGTGCATGAATATAAGTGATAACCTGGATGATAGTGGATGAGAATTTCCAAATAGCACCCCACGAACAGCAATGGATGCAGCAGCTGACTGTAAAACACTCTCTGCCTCGTTATAACTGGATAGCATTCCCCGAAGTTTAGTAAGAAGAATGTCAGCATCACCTAGATATGAAGACAAAGTCCATGCATCATCTATTGCCTCATCATTCAAAAAATCTAGAACTGCAAGAAATTAGCAAGTGAGAGTTAGAAAGCTGCTGGATTTGGTTTAGAAAGTAAAAATTGGTAAAAGAACCTCACTATATAATAAGTTTTTCAAAAAGAACAGCAATAGCATGCAGAAAGGAAATACCATTTTCATGTAGAAAATCAGCAACTGGTCCAGGTTGTACATGGGATTGACAAAGAATCTTCTCTGGTACATCCATTTTTAATGGTAATCTTGAAAATCTTTCTTGTAAAAGAAAGCCATCTTGGTCTACCACATAAGAAAATGAACTACAGTTAAAAAGCTGCAACACAAAGACATCTTAAGATTCAACTTGACCTATTTATGTTGCTGATCCCCCAGGTAGAAAGAAAGACAAGATGAAACATACATTTCACTGAATTATTTATGAAGACGTACCATATTCTATCGCGGCTTCAGCCTCCCTTTTATTGTGCAGAAATTTCCCCAAAGCATGAAATAAAGATAGTGTTTCATCCCTTCCAAAGTGCAAGGAATATCCATCATCTAACCTAACAGGTTCATTACTTTCCTCTTTTGATGCACTGGGAGAGTAAGTGGGCAGAGACAAAGAATGCACTTGCTTTGGTTTCAGACAGAAAAACTGTAAAGAAGTAATTGCATGTCTGATGTCACCTCCACTAGCTTTTGCTATTAGATCAACATAGTCAGCAGTGACATCACACTGTTCCATTTGGCACATTCTAAAAAGTATCTTCTTAATAGAATTCAGTGTAATTGGGTTGAATGCAACCTGAAAGTTCCCAAATTGAGTTTTTTATAAGACTTCTCTTATAACATGACATAAAAAATCATGAGAGAATTTTTCAAGGAAGTAACCTTACAAGCCCCAGAACTCTCGAGAGATAGCTTAAGTTCTTCCAGGCACCGTGCATTGTAATCTGCTGAATCAGTATTACCGTAGTCTGTGATCAATATTGCTGTGGGTATCTGAGTTGAATGCACCAAAAGGTGCAAGCAATCTTTAAGTCTTCCAAAAGCAGCTTTCCCATTCATCATGGGAAGATCATCTATTAAAAGTACGACAGATGGCTTTGATTCCCCAGTAAAGGAAGTTGGCATTAATCCAAATTTCCGTATTCTCTCAACAAAAGTTTCAAATTCATCCAACTTGGATGTGTATTGTGTCCCTGTCAATCAATCAGAAAAATTGAAAAAAAAAAAAAATTCAGTTAATCACAATCAAGAAGTTACAAATTTCAATCAATTTCCCCGAAACGTATTGCATGCATTTCCCGTTTGGACCGTTAAACACATTGTGCATTTCATTTTAACAATAAATCCTCAAGGACCATCACTGTTTAACAGTAAAAACAGATGATTCAACAAGAAAGTCATAAAGGACTGAGTCAAATTTTTCTCATACTAACTCATCAAGAGCATAATGGCTCGACCCACCTGTGCCAGAATTATAAAGATGTTCTTGCCAAATTACTGGCGTAGGTGTGTTCCATCCACACACTGTCGCTCCCAGGTGAGATGCAATTACATGAATAGCAGCCTACGTAATGAAAAGAAGAAAATTTTCAATGTAAATGTGGTATTCCTAACAAAGTACGTTAAGAAGTGGATCTTCATAACAACTAAAAGTCCTTTGCACATTTATTAGATATAGCAGAGTTTATAAAAGTGAAGGGCATAAATTCAGTAATAATCAAGTTAAAATCTGCATATAAGGATACAAAAATAGAGAAGCACATCAAAATACAGATAAAAGAGATTTGGACACCAAGCCACATTAGCCTGAAGTACCAAATATTGACATTTATAGATTATACTGCGAGGCTGTGCCAGCACAAGAAAGAGGGTAAAGGCGCAAGAGAATGGAAGAGCTACATACAGATTTTCCAACTCCTGCCTGCCCACTGATGACTAGAACGTTATTTCTGTAGACAGCCTGTAAAATTGCCATAATGAAAGGGAAGAAGAAAGGAATTCACAATGTGAATAGAATACAAACAACATAATACATATATCAAGATCAGAGAACAATTTATTGTTACTTATGTCAGTATAACTTAGTACTGGGGAAGAATTTCTACAGAAATTTAAACTCCTAATCGAACACTTTAGAGGAGAAATTAGAAGAGAAGACTCAAAATAACCAACAGCCAACAAATAATGCTGTTCTCTTTTTTCAGCTAAGGGAATCTTCTCCTTTTTTGCGAGCTTGGAGCAGTGGTAGAGTAGCTACTTTGTATCCAAAAGATCACAAGTTCAAATCCAAAAAACAGCCTCTTTGCAAAAAAAGTAAGGGTAAAGTTGCGTACAAAAATTTCCTCACTCGTACCCTTGCTAGTTAGGATTTCCTTTGATATTTATTTTTTAAACTTCTCTTTCCACTTCCTGAATTCTATTTTTTGCCATAAATGGATGTTTATTTCTTAGAATAGTAGTACTATTGTTTATAAAATGATATTGCTTGCACAGCATGCCAAAATAAGGAGGTGGGGGAAGCTAATCACAAAAATAAAGCACCTAACATTCCACACCATTACAAAATATCAACTAAAGATTTGACTAATAAATTCTTGCTCAGCAAGGAAACCGAAAATTCTCAAAATATTGAAAATTCAATATGTGGTTTACCTTATCAATACTTCATCTCTGTCTAAAAATTGTTTTGCAAGTTACAGGAACCACAATCTCTACAAGGCTATAAATTCTATAATGGATGAAAAACAAAGAACAATTATAAAACACTAATTGATCATAAACCTACAGCTCCTTTCCTAGATTTACCTTTGAAGGTTTCAACCTTTCCTCTAACCACGTCTTAACTTCTTCAACCTGCAAATACAAAAAAAGGGAAAATGGTATGGTATTCACAATTTCACATTAACAAGATCAAGAAGTTAAGGATCAGAGCTTTGACCTTTTTCTTGTGAACAGCAAGCTCTTCCAGTGAACGGGGCTTGTATTTATCAACCCATAGCTCCTCTGCATTGCTCCTTCGAGTACCTGATGTATCCATTTAGCATTTATTACTTGTGAAAGCAGGAAAAAAAAAGATACAGTTTCAGAAGAAACACTACCTGGGTGAAAAAAGTGAGAATTAAAGATTTACAATTTATTTAAAAAAATTATTGCTTGAATTTGACGCACTTTGACTCAGGCCTGCTTAGCAAATCTTTAGTGTTTCAACATAGTCCATATATTATTAACAAATTTGAAAAGGCACAACTGTAATACCAATATATCCCACAAGGAAGTTCTCAGCTTAAATTCAAAGAAACTAAGGTACAAATATCCAATCTAAAACAATTGAAAAAAAAAAAATCAACCATCTTAAACACAACACAGTGAAAGCATACCAGCGGATACCTTGGACCCAGTAAACACTTCATTGAAGTCGTCTCCAAGTAAGTTGATCTGCAAACAATTGAATTCATCATATTCCCCTCTTTACAGACATACAAAAAAATCGCAATTAGAACTCAAGGTATCACAATGAGAGTTACGCGTCACATAAATGGAAGTAACATGCTACCAAGTACCAACCAGTAACTCCATATCAACCATCACCAAGTTCACATACAGCAACAACATCACAACAATCACATACCCAAAAATAAAAAAATAAAAGGAGCATCTTAACTTCATAAACATGCAACCTTATATCATAGTAAGTCATACACCCATTGTCAGCCACTAATGCACTAGTATCTAATTGCGCTAATTTATTAGTCCCGAGAGCTATTAAATACAAACGGTATCAACGTTTAATAATGGGTTATGCTATTATATATATATACATACATATATATGACATAACCTAGCATACCCATTTACCTTAAATAGCTAAACTATATAGCCAAAACTGAAAAAATTGATACCTCATGCAGCTTAGAAAGGTGAGGCCGAGAACTTGAAGAAACTCGGGCCCTCTTTTTTCCACGAGAACTTGTTGACCTCGACCTCGACTTCGGCTTAGTATAGCTGTTTCTAAAACGATTACTCGAAACATCTTCATCCTCCGATGATAGAACAACGACGTAGTTTCGCTTTGCCATAACAAAACCCTGATATTTCTTCTTCTTCTTTTCACTTACGAATTTGTTACAATAAGGGACAAATTACTCACTCAGTTCGAGAAGATTCTTCTTAACCTGACTCATCAAACGGTACACATTGCTCGGAAACCTTGGCCGTGAAACGAAATCAGAAGTGCGTTTGAGCTTTTCGAAATCCCCACACTCAATGGTGAGTTTTTGGAACGCAATATGCGAAAATTCGCGGGTTTAATTTATGAGGGATTTCATTTACAACTACTTCATGTATTATTTAACTTTTAAAGATAATTTTAGAATGGCTTCTGGGAGGGTTGGCGAGCCCTAGGCCTAGGCCTTATGGTAGTTGCTCGGCCCAACTTTGGCCCGTTCCCAGAAGCCGCATGGAGAAATTCTAATATGACACGAGACTACGAGAGTATTGTTCTCCACACGTAAGATTTATTTTAATATTTATTAAATGAGGTGGAATTGTTTTATACTATTATAAGACTTAACACTCTTACAGATCCGACTCAATCATTGGCCCAACCGGGATACTGAGTTATATAAGATTACTGATTCAACCGGTTCGTTTGATTCGGGAAAATACATGAAAATTTATATTTTACACAAAAATATTTAAATATATGTAAAAAATGATATAAGTTCAAATTTGGGTTTTGATTTATTACAAATCTAAAACATTTTAATTTATGCGCTTAAAACATAATACCCAAATCATTAATAGATTTAGTGGGCCCATAACAAATCATTGCAAACAAATAAATCATTAATGATTTATGGGTTTCAAACATAAATTACCAAGCCCATAAATTATTAAATCTGCAAACCAAAAAAGAAAGAAGAGGCCAAATGCTTGTAACAGCTTGTTTATTTCACATCCTCTTTTCGAACCCTAAACAGCCTCCTCCTAAGGCAAAGAGAATATCAACTGGTTTTTATTTATAAAATGTTGAATTGTACTTTTTATTTTTTATTTGATGACCCTAATTATTTTATGGGACAAGTCAGGTTCTTTAGGTATCAACACAACCAGAGTGGAAAAAAAAGACAGACATGAGTCTAATTTCAAATCAAGTTGCATGATAATTGTAATCAGATAGCACAGCTAACGTGTCATTAGTTAGCTTACATGTCATTAGGTGTATTAAAAGCATGTTAACCAAGTTAGTTATTCAGTTAATCACTTGTGTATAAATACCCTTTGTATTGTTAATTACACGGTAATTCAATAATCAATCTTTGCATGTTATTCTTCTCAGTTCTCTCTCTGATATGGGTTTCATCTTCTACCTTCATCTTCTCCCTTATTGTTTTGATGGTATCAGAGCCTGAAGCTCTGGTATCCATCATCTTCCGCTAGTTCTAACACAAGTCTTCCCATGGATGAACCACACTTCACCATGGAGAATCCAAACCAAACAGAAAACCAAGATCCAAATCAAAATCCAAACCAAAACCTCAATTAGGTACATAATCCAACGAAAGATCAGATCCAATTTTTTGATTTCCTAAATAATCCACGAAATCCTCTTTATCTGCATCCTAATGAAAATCCATCCACCATACTGGCTTCACCACCGTTGCATGGCTCCAATTATCACTCCTGGTCACGAGCTATGAGGATGGCTCTAAGTTCAAAGAACAAACTATGCTTTGTAGATGGTTCCATGAAGATTCCTTCAAGATCTGATGAGAACTACTCAGATTGGGAGCGATGCAATAACACTGTTTTAGGCTGGATCCAAAGATCGATTGATGATTCCATTGCACAATCGATTTTATGGATTGACTACGCTGAAGATGCTTGGAATGATCTCAAGGATAGATCCTCCCAGGCTGACATATTCCGGATTTCAGATTTGCAAGATGATATTTGCAAACTGGAACAAGGAGACAGAACAGTAGCTCAATATTTCACTGAATTGAAGATTATATGGGATGAAGTTGATAATTTGATTCCTCTTCCAAGATGCACATGTCAGGTACAGTGTTCTTGTGGTGGTTATAACATCATGCGAAAGATCAGAGATAGAGACCGTGTGATTAGATTTCTTAAGGGGCTAAATGATCAATATGAACATATTAGTTCCATCCACTTCCTGTTGTTAACAAAGCTTTTTCCATGATAATACAACAAGAAAGAAAGTTGAGTGGAACAGCTCCAAATCATGTTGCAGACACTACTCGAGCTTTTACCTATGCATCTGCATCCAAGAATGCTATAAACACAGAAAAAGGAAAGGTTAACTTCAATAGAGGAAGTAACAATGCAAGAGGAAAAAGGACAACAATATTGTACTCATTGTAAAATGACAAACCACACAATTGAGAGCTGCTACTTCAAGCATGGGTTTCCTCCTGGTTATAAGTCAAGAAGGAGTGCAAATCAGATAGCTACTTCTGGAAATGGTTCTCAAACAGAACACAGTGCACTCTTCACTGCTGAACAACACCAACAACTACTTAGATTGCTGCATTCTAACACAGGAGCAGATAACCATTCGACTAACTTGGTGCAAGCCTCTACTATGACAGCAGAAAGACCATACTCAGCAGGTAAACCACTTCATGAACGGATTTTGGATACAGGTGCCACTGATCACATCTGTTTCCAACAATCCAGTTTTACTTCCTTGCATGAGATAGCTCCTATATCCATTAATCTGCCAGATGGTCACCAAATTATAGCCAAGTTCAGTGGAGTTGTTGATATAACTGATACATTAAGATTGGTAGATGTCTTATATGTTCCTGATTTCAAGGTTAATTTGATTTCAGTTCCAAAACTCCTCAAGACTTCACTTTATTTCCTTACCTTTTCTGACTCAAACTGTGTTATTGTACAGAAACATACCAAGGAAATGATTGGTTCAGCTGAACTCACAAGAGGACTTTATGTGCTAATCATCCCAAAGACCAAATCAAGACAACCTTTTCTAGAATCACAGATTCATAGCTTTCCTTTACATTGTAATTTTTCTGATTCGGATGTTACCTTAAACAGTGATCATGTGCTTTGGCACTATAGGGCTTGGACATGTATCCTATACCATTTTAAAGACTTTGTCATCTCAATATACTTTCATTCCAAATAAACATGTTGCTCCATGTGATGTCTGTCAATTTTCTAAGCAACACATATTGCCCTTTCCAATCAATACATCTAAGTCCACAAATTTTTTAGAATTGTTTCATGCTGATATTTGGGGACCATATGCCACACGATCCATACATGGTCATAGATACTTTCTTACCCTTGTTGATGACTTCACAAGATACACTTGGTCATACTTATGAAATGCAAATCAGAAACTTCCCATCATTTAGTACATTTCCTACATGGAAAATCAATTCCAAGTTTCCTTAAAAACTCTCAGAACTGATAATGGTTTTGAATTCAATATGAATTTCTTTTTTCATAAAAAGGGAATTCTTCATCAAAGATCTTGTGTAGAGACACCCCAGCAAAATGGGATTGTAGAAAGAAAACATAAACATATTTTAAATGTGGCTAAATGTCTTGTTTTTCAAGCCAACATCCCTCCAAAATTATGGTGTTATGCTATATCCCATTATGTCCATATCATTAATCGGGTTCCCACTCCTTTACTTGACAATGTTTCACCATTTGAAAAGCTCTTTAGGAAAGCACCTGATTTGCATGATTTGAGAGTATTTGGATGCCTTTCCTATGCTTCTACATTACTTTCTCACAGATCCAAATTCTCCAAAAGGGCAAGAAAGTGTATTTTCATTGGCTACAAACCAGGCATGAAAGGTTACATTTTATATAACCTCATTGCATGTTCTGTTTTTATTTCTAGACATGTTCAATTCTTTGAACATTATTTTCCTTTCCTTCACACTTCTTCACCCAACACCAGTATCGTCCAGCCTTGTCCACCTCCACCATTGAGTGACTTTGACCATAGCTTTAACCCACTACAACAGAACCAAAATTTACAACCCAATCCAACTCCAATAACAGAACCAATACATCAACCTCAAACCCAAACTCCAATACCATAATTGCATCCATCTCCTCTCCCTCAATCTGATATTGATACCACACTACATGGCCCTTCTCCCTGCACCAACACACAGCCCTTAGCTGATATAAATCATCATCCTCGAAAGTCCTCCAGATTCAAACAGCCTCCTAAATATTTGGATGATTATCATTGGAGTCTCTCTACTGCTACAACTGGCTTGTCATCTCCAGGTACATCATATGTCCTTTACCCATTATCCACAGTATACACCTTTGATAATTGTTCCTCACAACATACACATTACTGCCTTACTTTGAGTTCCTTGATTGAACCCACATCCTATAAACAAGCTTCACAACAGCAATGTTGGATTGATGTTATGCACAAGGAACTTGCTGCCTTGAAACTTAACCACACCTAGTCTTTGATTGATATGCTTGCTGATGTTAAACCCATTGGATGTAAATGGGTATACAAAATAAAAATGAAAGTTGATGGCTCCATAGAGAGGTACAAGGCCCGGTTGGTTGCCAAAGGGTACAATCAGATGGAAAGCATTGATTATTTTGATACCTTCTCACCGGTTGCCAAAATGACTACAGTTAGTGTCCTTCTCTCCATTGTTGCAGCCCGAGATTGGGATCTTATCCAGCTAGATGTCAACAATGCATTTCTTCATGGTGAGTTACATGAAGATGTATACATGCTTCCACCACCAGGATTAAGCACTGCTTTTTCTAGTAAGGTTTGCAAACTACACAAGTCCCTATATGGCCTAAAACAGGCCAGCAGACAGTGGTATGCACGTTTGTCCAGTTTTCTGGTTTCTCTTGGTTATAAACAATCCACTGCAGATTACTCTTTGTTTGTCCGAAATCATGATTCAGCATTTACAGCACTCTTAGTCTATGTTGATGACATAGTCATCACTAGCACCAGTTATCATGAGATTCAAAAGGTTAAGGGGTTGCTTGCTGCTGAATTTCAACTCAAAGACTTGGGTTCTTTAAAATTCTTCCTAGGACTTGAAGTCAGTCGCTCCAATACAGGCTTAGCTCTCAACCAAAGAAAATATACTTTGGATCTTTTACAAGACAATGGTCTCTTGGCTTGTAAACCAGTAGGTACTCACATGGATCCTTCTTTCAAATTACAAAGAATACAAGGAGAACCGTATTTTGATCCTGCTTCTTATCGTCGTCTCATTGGTTGATTATTATATCTTACAAACACACGCCCAGACATCACATTGGCTGTCCAGCAACTTTCTCAATTTGTTGCTAATCCCATGACACTACATTTCCAGGCAGCTACTAGGATCCTGAAGTATCTCAAATGCTCTCCTGCAAAGGGATTATTTTTCCCACGAGCAAACAGTCTTCATTTATCTAGATTTGCAGACGCTGATTGGGGGTCTTGCCTTGATACCCGACGTTCAATCACTGGTCAGTGTCTCTTTCTTGGTACTGCTCTCATTTCATGGCGTGCCAAGAAGCAACACATCATCTCAAGATCCTCCACTGAGGTTGAATATAGAGCTTTGGCTTCCATCACTTGTGAAATCCAATGGCTTACATTTCTCCCTGCTGACCTTCAAGTAGATACCTCAGTTCCTGCTTCTCCCTATTGTGATAACAAATCTGCAATATACCTGGCTAACAACCCAGCCTTTCATGAAAGATCCAAACGCATTGAACTTGATTGTCACATCATTAGGGAGAAGCTACTTGATGGTCTCCTAAAGCTGCTTCCTGTTTCTACAAAGGATCAACTCGCTGATCTATTCACCAAACCCCTGCACCCAGGGCCCTTTCGATCCATTGTCTCCAAGCTTGGTCTTTTGGACATCCACAGTCCAGCTTGCGGGAGGGTGTAATCAGATAGCACAGCTGACGTGTCATTAGTTAGCTTACATGTCATTAGGTGTATTAAAAGCATGTTAACCAAGTTAGTTATTCAGTTAATCACTTGTGTATAAATACCCTTTGTATTGTTAATTACACGGTAATTCAATAATCAATCTTTGCATGTTATTCTTCTCAGTTCTCTCTCTGATATGGGTTTCATCTTCTACCTTATTGTTTTGAATAATCATTTAGTTTCAATCTCAAAGTTCGTGTCCAAGATTCAAACACTTATTCTTTTGACGATTCGTATGTCTAAAGCTTGTAGGACAATTGAGCCAACCCTTGGATTTTTGTATTTACTACGATGATTGTTTTAGTCAAATCTTATAAAAATTAAGAATAATAAGAATATAATTAAATGTTCCTTATTTTCATGTATTTTAAAATAATATATTTTGTTAAATTATTTATATTTCGCCCTAAAACGACGTTGTCGTTTTAATACTATAGGAATAGTGATATTTGAACCTACAACATCATGTAAATTATCTCAACCTCTCACCACTAGACCAATCCTAATAGTTTAAGTAAGAGTAATTTAGATTTATTATACCTCACTCTTCTTTTTAAATAATTTTAAATATAACCAACAAATTATATAACTATAGAAATGGTTGGAAAATCAGGCAGCATTAGCTTATTTGATAGAAAACCAGTAAACTAATTAAGTATCTAATTCATATGACCTACAAAACTAACCATTCAAAAAAACTAATTGAACCAAATCAACATTGATCAAGATTTAAAACCACTAAAGATTAATGAAAACCGATAAACCAGTTTGGAGTTTTTTCCCCACTTTTTCAAACAACTATAAATTGATTTTGATCGAAAACCAGCTATGAATGAAAGTACTATAAGTATTTTTAAAACATTAATAGGTCTCCCGCTTAAAATGTTTTAATTTTCTTTATGCTAAAATAAATTCTATTCGTTAAAAAAAATTAAAAAACTGTACTTGAATAATCAATTCTACAACTTGATCTTGCAAAACTAAATTCCCAAACAATTCAAGACACACTAAGAATTAATTATGTGTTTCGAGAATTTATTATACCCATATTTTTATCACATCCGGTTTAATCTCGTTCGAGCTATATTAGACTCATATTGGGGAGCTTTTCCCCAATATTATTTCCTTCAATTCTCAATTTCTCAATTAAGAGCAAAAAACTCTTTGCCACTTGAAATACAACAATTTCTTTTAACAATTTTTTAAGAGTTATTGAACATAATTTTGATTATTAGATATTGATTATTATTTATTATACTAATTAATATTTATATGAAGCGACAAGGTAAAAATTGGTATGTGAAATATTTGAGTGATGGAAATATGTTTATTTTCCTATATGAGTTTAGTATATCAATGTAACAATGATCTAGTGAGACAAAAATATAGATCTAAGCTCAATAAAAATGCAATCGTGTGTGAGTTTAAGGTGAAAGCTGAGAGTCAGGAGAAGTGTTGGGTGTGACGGCTCTTGAGGCTGTATTTGAGCAAAGTAAAAACAAGATGAATAGATTGCAGCAGATGCCTCTTCAATGGTAAAAGAAGAATATAAATAGCATATAAGTGGAGGAAGAATCTTAAATGATGAGTAAGAAAGAGCATAGAGCATAGGCAAAATTATGAACTCCACTATGTGTGAGACAAACATTTTCATACCCTTAATGAGATGCATGTACATGTGAAGTGAAATTTGATGTGATAAGCAATGTTGTTAAAATCGAGATCTTAAGTAAAATCGGATGGAGATAAAAAAATCGTAAAACGTAAAATTGTAATGTAAAAAATCGTAAAAAATCGCAAAAATGTAAAAGCGTTTGAAATATTAATAAAATCGTTTTGATGAAAAGAAATCGTAAAAAAGTAAAATCGTAGTGATAAATCGAGATTTTAATAATAATGGTGATAAGGTTATTATTATCTCACTTCAAAAATACAGGGGTGAAAACCAAAAAAAAATAAAAAAATACAGGAGCGTAACATGTCATATAAGCATTGGAGGTTATCCGAAAAGACTAGGCCTATGTGGTCCGTCGAGAACATGATCGACAGTGAGATTCTACAATGCGGTATGATCTTGACACTCTCTCGCTGGACACTTCAAGCCTCAAGGGGGCGGTTAGAGTTAGAATTTGAGATGAACAATAAATATTCTATCACGTGGCAAAATAGACTCGCTCTCACTAGACCCTCCAATTATGTGACATCCTGATCTAGCTACTCCGAACTACCATGCTTCAATAATTACTTCCCAACCCACTATATTTCAGTATATATATATATATATATATATATATATATATATATATATATATATATATATATATATAAATATATATATATATAAAACGATAAAAAAAAAGGCATCAAAATGGGTTTAGTTCGGGTGGTCCAATTCTACTAAATATGAGTTAGATGGATTAGTTAAATGTTGACATAAATAGAACGTTTGTTTCAATGTCAAATGGATTAGGCCTACAGTTTGGGATATTTTCCAAAGGCAAAATGTAGTTAAAGTACGGAAGTATAAATTAAATTTCAGCAGAAAACATAGACCATGGTCCGTTTTCAAGTGTAAAATATAAAGAGAATATTATGTACACTAGTATATAAGCAACTGATTTACAAATACTATGATTAGACCCACTGTTTAAAACATCAAATCAAGTCTCAATTGTAATTGGATCAAGTCAAACTATATCATGTATCATGTTTGAATAAAAAACTTCCTCCTGGCATAAGATGAGTTTGAATTTGATACTATCATATACTTGTCTTATAAGATTAAAAAATATTGTGCATACATAATAAAGGAAGTTCTTCAAACAAAAAATAAATGTTAAGCAATAATAGCATGCTGGAGGCTCTTTTTGCCTCACCTGCAAAAAATGTTGATTGAATATCACACTGGCTATTAAATGTAATACATTTATTTTGGAGCCTATTTACGTCCCCAGCCATTGTTTCCACCAAACAACAAAAACTGATGCAAGGAAAGAAACACGTCTTACTAACTGCAGAACAACCAAATGATAACTAAGAAACAATTACAGATCTTTGCACATAGCAAGCATTATATAAAAATACAAAATAATTAAGATATATATATATATATCTTCAAGCAAACAAGGTCGTTATCCTAACTGGGATATTCCAGTCTATTAATACATAAAACGTAAGTTAATAAAAAAGGTGGGAACCATGAAATGCAAATTTCACAATTAGAATCCACAATAATTCAAAGAAAGCAAAGCATCAACCACCTTATGCTTCAAAGAGATCTAGACTATGTCAGATGAACACCCACATAGACTCCAACTTCTTCAATAGAAGAAGGAATGAAGAAAAGGAAGAAGAGGAGGGAAATGAGGTAGGACAGATGGCTCTCAAATGTTTAGACCTAGTGAATCACAATATTGAACAGGCCTTTTGTGCTTTACTCTTCTTTTTCTTTTGCTTTGGTGGTTGAAGGACAACTCTTATGGCTGCATCAAAGACTGCCTTCACGTTCTGCAGTAAAGGTCAGAAATAAATTCAAAACCACCAATTAAATTAGTTATTGTATGCACAAAGAAGAAGAAAAAGAAAATAGATTCAATTATGTACCTGCTGTGTTTTCGAACTGCATTCAATGTAAGCAGGTGCATTAATCAGCTTCCTAAGCTCTTCTCCCTTCAAGAAGATATGCAAATTTTAGATTTCATTTAAGTAAATAACTAAAAACAGATTGCAAACATGCACTAGAAGCATAAAGCAATTAAAGGAGAATCAGAAACAATATTCACCTGAGCAGTGGTAATGGGTACGGCACCAGGATGGTCCACGAAGAACTGCTTATCATCCCGAAGGTCTATTTCATTTCAAATCACAAAATGGTAAAGGACTAACTCTTAGTTGACAAAAAAATTAATAGAACATGCACAGGTCAGGAAGACTGTTAACACAATCACTTGTCCCCTAAATAGAACAAATATTTGGAAGTATTAATACATATATAGATATAGGACCGACCCAACTAAACATGCACACTGCATCCATAAAAACTTTACAAGATTAAGAAGGTAACTTCTTTAATTAATGCCAGATATTAACACTTTTCCAGTGGAAATAGATGGTAGTCTGAGCCAAAATTCCAAATTAACAACATTCAAAGAGTACTTTTGCATTTCAAAAATACTTCCTAGGCTCAAGCATATACAAAGCCAAGCTTGATAGCCGAGACCTCTAGCATTGCACTAGACTCCCCAGTGCCTTTGATCTGATTGTTCATAGGACAGGTCAAAGAAGAAAACAAAAGAAATCATAATTCATCATATACACATTAAGTATTTAAAAATATCTAAAACTTTACTAACGATGTGCATGTATTAGACTGTATTAATTATTTGCAACACATCCTGGAATATATAGACAAGAAAGAGTAATATCCAACCAAAAACATAAAAAAGAAAAAAGACCACAACTGTCGTGAGCACTCGAAGAGTAAATAGAGGTGAAAACAAAGAAAGGGGGAAAAAATGCAGCAATAATCCTCCACCATTTTCTGGAAAACAAAAATTCCCTTTTTGTAGTACATCACTTATAATATGAAGATAAAAAAAGAATTATAAATCAACTATCTCATAATAATGTAAAGTTCCCAAGAAGTGTCTAAAGACAACATTCATGGATCATGGAATCCATATAATTAAGTTTATGTGATTTCCTAACACAAACAATGGTTACTATTTTAAATTAATACGCTGGAAAGAAGCAACTAGAATAAACTTACCAAGCTTTGTGCCAACTAGAATAATGGGAACACCTGGTGCATAATGCTTCAACTCTGGAATCCACTGGGAATGAAAACAATATATATATACAATTTATCAGCAATATTTAATTGAGACAAATAGTAAATTGTTCATTCCAATTTAAAAAGAAACCTACAATTCATATCAAATGGAATATGCAAAAGTGAATTATAAACTCAAGGGACAATTAGAACATTGACTCTAAAACACAGTGGGATAAGTACCTTTTTGGAAACATTTTCATAACTGGCCTTACTTATGAGAGAGAAAGCCAGTATGAAAACATCGGCACCACGATAACTCAAAGGTCGTAATCTGTTATAATCCTCTTGTCCTGTTCCACAAAATAATACAATAAAAATTCAAAACGAACTCTCTACATCATTGATTTAACAAAAATAAAAATTGTAATTATGCAACAATACCGGCAGTGTCCCACAAGCCCAGATTAACAGTGCTTCCATTCACAACCACATTTGCACTGAAATTGTCGAAAACAGTTGGCACATAATCCTGTTGCCAAACAAAGTGATGAGATAAAAAAAAGTAATAATAATCTTTCTTGTCCAATAAGCACAGTTACAAGATAATATAGCATTGAAACACAACCCCAAAATCCAATGGCAGCTCGGAGGATTAATTTAGCACCAGAATCTTATTATCTCGTTTCTCAAATTTAAATTAATACCCAGTACATCATTTCATGTAATGCTCGTACTCCTCCAAAAAAAATAAAAAATAAAAATAAATCTATCATCAACAATTGAAAAATGAAAGAAGGTTGCAACACTACATGCAGATGAATCAAAACAAGGAACAACAAACATTGAATTCTTCATCTATACTCATGAAAACTTCCAAAGAAAGATATTTCGTTGCATTTTGTAATGGTGATGATATGCAGTCATATGCAACACAAATTACAAAATCCCCAATGAATTTAACAAAAATAAATAAATTCTTCTATCCAATCAAAAATAGAAAAGCTTTAACAGACTACAGGGAGGAGATGTTTTCATTTGATCATGTTTTTCCAATCAAACTTTACAAATAAACTAACGAGAATCTAGCAACCAATTAATTTCAGTTCAAAATCTCAATTTCTCTTTTGAAGAACAGAAAAGGGAAATCCAAATTTCCTTTAACATTTTTAACCCTTTGTCGACATTTTATCTCATTGACAAAATTTCATATTCGTAGAATTGAATAATCATCCTAATTATTGAAATTTTTATTTCAAAAAAAAGAAAAAAAAAAAGAGAGAGGAAGAAATGAACTGACAGTGGGGAAGGTGTTGCTGGTATAGGAGATTAGCAAACAAGTTTTGCCAACAGCTCCATCTCCAACAGTGACGCACTTGATGAACCTAGAAGCGCTCATCTTCGCCAATTACCCTTTTATTCACCTCAACCTCCCAACAAATATGAAAGCCGCCCCAGATCTTCAACCTGAGGACCCCGATCACACACAACAACCCCTTCCAACTTCTCCTCCTCCAGTTGTTGCAATTACTCGCTTTCAGTCACGCATCTGTACCAGGCAAAACCAAAATCGAGAAATTTCCATGAATCAAAAAAGAGGGAAAATTCTAAAAAATAATTAAAATTTCCCAAAACGAATTGGAAAATGTAATTGGGGGAGTTTGGGAAGAAAAAGGAAGAACAAAAATGAGAAACCCTAACCCTTTTGGAGGAGATGGAAATTATGCGTGAGGAAATGGGAATTGTTACAGATCGAGATCAAAGAGCTCTTCTAGCCCGGGAAATTTTGCCGTTGAAGCGTTCGTTAAGCGAACCAATCTTCGCCAACAAACTCGTCACTTTGTGTTGTTGTTACTATTATTATTTTTGTTTTTCTTTGTTGTTTTTTTCTTTTTCCTTTTCTTTACAATTATTTATTTGTTATTTTTGTGTTTTGTATCATTGTCTTCTTTTTTTTTGGAAAAAGTGTGTGTCATTTTAAAGGATGTAAAGTTGTGTCATTTTAAGAAAGAGAAAGAGATAGATAAAAGAAGAGAGAGTTGACATAAAAAATAAAAGTGTGAGTTCCATCTCTTTATGAGAGTGAAATGTTATAAGTTGTGTCATTTAAAAGGATAAACACTTTTTTTTTGTTTTTTTTTTTTTGGAAAAAGAAATTCACGTGACGCGATAATCGCAACTAAACTCGGATTTCCTCCCAAAGTTATTCGGATCTGTGACTCGATCACGGTTACAAATGGTATATTTAATTACTCATTTTTAATGCATTTAGAAATGGATTTTACGAGTATAATGTTATATGACTTAAGAAAATCTTCCCACATACACAAGATAAAGAGGAGAGATAAAGCGGAATAATGAAATAAAAAAATATATATGTGGACTCCATTATGTGTAAGAAAGTTTTCGAGTGATACAATGTTGTACACATAAAATCTTTTTATTTTATTATTTTGACGGACATTTGGGGTAAAAAGCAATGTCATATGCAAGAGGAGATGGAGAAATTAAATAACTAACGTGGAATGGAGATTTATCTTTTTATTCTTTACCAGAATGACTTTTTGCTCTCTTTTTTTTGTTTCTTTAAATCTGATCATATAATGACAAGTTAATAGAATTTATTTGTTTTAAAAAAATAGTATTTAATTGAACTATTTTTTTATATTTGGGAGGTTAATTTATGACATGATATCATAATTTTTAATATTATTTAATAATATGTTGCTATGTCATTGAAAAATAGACTTCGGGATTGTGATGGTTAATTTTTCTTTTAATGATCTCACAATATGTAATCAGATATATTTTTTTTAAATAAAATTATGATTACTCCGTATCAAATTTATTTTTCTCATATAACTTTTATTTTGAATCGGCCACTAATGCTCATTATACGGGGTAAACCCTGCACTTCTAAAGAGTGAAACAAATATTTTCTCAGTTAACATAACTCTCTCTCAAGCACATGCACTTTATAAATAGGTGATGATGCATTGCCTCACAACTAGTGGAGCAGTGTTATCTCTTCAAGAGAGAGTTAATTTAGAGCTTATAATAATGAATTTGTTGCAAAAAATCCATATAAATTGTCTCAAATGCATGATAAATGAGTTTAATATTGCATGATTCATGTTTAAGTTCCTTAAGATGATAAAGTGTGGAAAACATGGAAAATACTCTTGATTTTGATGCTAGAGTAGGTCATTGGTTGAGTGTTTGTTTTGCAAAAAAATGATGGGCGAGTGCTGTAGTAATGAAGAAGTAACAAATCCTAGCAAGTGGAAAATGCTGCAAGAGTGCTATATAACAATCACAGTTACAGAAATGTAGCATTTGGACAATAATACAATGGAATAAAGTGATAAAGTTGCGATTTAAAATTTAAATTGAAAATAAACCCTCAAGATTGAGGCTCAAGACATCGTCAACCATTCCTATAAATAGAGGACTTTATAATTGATTAAGAGAGTTCACGCGCCATATTTTCACATTTAGATTTTACCCACTAATCGAGAGACAATGGGCGGGTTCAAGCTCGACATAAGAACTTTAGTGAGAGATTCACAGAGGTGGAGCACAAAACAAAGGATTGAAATAGTAGTGCAAGAGTATATAGCTTATGCGCAAAGCTTGGACCAGATTGTTGATGTAGCACTGTAATTATAACCACGTAACATCCTCCAAATTGAGACCACTACACTTAACCATTAACTCTAATCTTTGCATTAGGATAAACTAGACATATAAGACTTTTCGGAAAGATATTACAACAACCATTTGGTTAAGTATAGTCGGAGTTATTAAACTCGCAAGGTAGCTGACGAAACTGAACTTTCGGAATTGTAGCTTCAACTTCAATCCTAAACTGATATTGATATACTCATCCAATGGCTCTAATATTTTACAGAATTATATCCCTATGTGTTAGCTTCACATACGTATAAATCGCGCTCAATTCGGAGCTCTGTAGCTTAAGCTATGCCAATTTTATCAAACTATATTCGTGCTGTTTTCGGGAAGCGCACTTGAGCGCGCTCTTCGAACACATTTTTTGCCTGGTAGCGCGCTTGAGTGCCCTACACCTGGGGCAGACTTGATCTCCCCTGTTTTTGGTGGTTCACTTAAAGGAGTTCCTCCCTCCTTTCTCCAACTTATTGGTACCTAATTGATGAGGGATTTCCAACCATGGTCACACACCATGAGGCTCTCACATTCCACATACATTTCATCAATCCATCATACAATTCAAATTGATAAAACATAACTTCACATTCATCAATGTATCAATATCTCAATTACAACTATGCTCTTCAAAATAATTACATGCCAAAGGACTTAACTACCAAAGATACATTATCAAAGCCATTACCTATAAACAATATAGCAATTATCATTACAATGATCATGCATTAAGTCTTTCAAAATACATTATATGGCCTCAAAATAAATGCATATACATATGATGGTGCAATTGACCTACACATATAACAATTCTAATTGGCATGCAACTCAAAATGTCCAGCTATCAGGTACAATCTACTTATGCTTCTTGCCTCGTTCAGCCTCACCTTTATCAGTACCTGAAATTATGCCCTACAACACGGGGTGAGATATATGAATATATCAGTGTAAAACAGGGGTCCTTGGAGATCACTCCACCCTAAGGTTCACTTTCGGTGTACACATAATAATAATAGCTTAAGACATTCTTATCCATAAACATCACATGGGCCTCCAAGAGAGATCCTCAAAGGGCTATTTCTCTTAGGTTCTCACCACAAGGAGATTCGCATAGGGCTATTTCCAAGAGAAGTCCACAATCTCACACTAGGGGTTTCCAAGAAAGATCTTCAAAGGTTATTTTTTTTAGGCTCTTACCACATGGAGATCCGCATAGGGTTGTTTCAAAGGAAAGTCTTACCAATCATCCTCATCATAATACTAGTCACTTTCAAGAGAGATCCGCAACAGGATTGTCTCTCTTAGGCTCTCACCACAAGGAGATCCACATAGGGCTGTTTTCAAGGGCAAGACAAACCACCTGAAGATCCTCATAGGGCTGTTTACCGGGGAATCCTCACTGGCAGGATGGCCTCAAGAGGGATCCTCAAGGACTGTTCCTCTCCGGTAATAACCACAAGGAGTTCTCCTTAGGGCTAACTCCAAGGAAGACCACACATCCATCATACTAGTTATATTCATTGGATTGATCCAAGGACTATTCAATCTTTTCTCATTTATCAGTCACTACCTCATCTCTCAACTATCAACATAACCTCAATCATTACTTTTACATCTATCAACCATTCCTCAATTACTCTTAAAGAATCAAACATCAATCAATGATCATTAAACAATCATAACATTTATCAATGCATGAACATACAATTACTATCATAATTACATATCACATCTCATAGACCATTCCTCCTCAACGGAGTATGGTGGAACATTCAAGAGGATCAACCCCAAGGTCCGAAGGTTTACCTTACACTTGAAATTTCCTCAAAGCTTTCCTTTCCTCAATTGAACACAACCACAAAGATTGGTCTCTCCACTTGGTCCACTTGTCTCAATCCTAGCCATACAAGTGATACCATCAAACATATAACCAACCAAGGCTAACAATGCAAGAAAATCCTCAATTTCAAGAATAGATTTATCCAAATGTCAAAGTATACTAAAATGACAATCTAAACTCATTTCTACCGTTTATTTAACATTCTTAACCACATTTTCAAAGGAATTTAGCCTCAATCTTACTCAAACTCATAAAACCAATTAAAAAACATTATTCATCGACTTCAACCTCTAGAAATCTTCATGAAAACTAGGATGGAGAAGTGGAAACTTACCACAATAGGTCATACAACCAAGGAATAGAGGTCTCCTAAGCTCCCATGGATGAAAATGCCCCCAAACTCTTCCAATCTTCAAAGGGGCCGAAATATTTGAGAGAGAATATCTCCCTTCACAAAGCCTCCCACTCAAAATCAAGCTTGTATTCACAATGTGGGAAATATTTTAATTGGTTTTGGCTTTAGAATGAGTTGATTTGGTTTAGAATCAAGGAAGTTAGGGTTTGTTCCCCAAAATAGTTCTCTTTTCCCCTCTTTCTCAGTTCAGACGCACGAAGAAGAAGAAGAAGAAATGGGAAGGCTCTTTGGTTTTTTTAACTTAACATAAGTTAAATTATTTCAACTGGATAAAGTTTATCTATCTATCTAACTCCATTCTCTTTCAAAGTTCACCCAATAGACTAGAATATTGTTCCAGTCCCATTTTTAACTTTACTTTTACCTTTTGCGTAATTTTGTCTACACATATTTTTACCCCATAATTCTCATTGACTGTATTTTTCATCTCAAAAGTGACCCCAATTTATTTAATTAGGCCTTTTACTTAATTCAACCCACTTATACATGCTTAATTACTTAACTACATGTAATTAATCTAAAATACTTAAGTGAGAGGTATTATACTCTAATTGTCTATATCAGTGTATGAACTATTAGACCCAATTAGTCACTGACATAAATATTCATGTACCAATTAAACTCCTTGAATGAGCCCAATTTATCTAATACCACATATGACACTAGCAATGTTATGCAGCTCTATAACTAATTGAGTTGATCAAGTGATCTACCTTTCTAATTTGGATACCATGCCGACATTATCCCTCATAATGTCATTCACATTTAGTCGAGAGCAATGATAGATTATCATATCTCTTGTGTGACTAAATGAAGCATTTCACAATGTTATAAAACTCGAACCAGTTATCGACTTGGTTGAGGTATCGAGTCAGTACAACACTGGTTCAACAGGTGGTCACTGGTTGAATAGCTT